AGAAGCATCATTTTAATTACAAATTACTATACTGTACACTTAAAAAAATATCCATTAATGTTGTTGTCTGGCATCTTCTTGCCACAGAGGGGTGGAGGAAGAAGGCAGCTCAACGGTTGACATGTCCAGTACATATCAAAATTCTTAAACAAAATCTCATCAATGACCAAGACTAATCTATAATTTGTTACATTATTACATAGTTCACATAACTGGATATATATAAGGCCATTATGAACATCCTTGAATTTTCAGTATAATACAGTATAACATAGTCTACAGACAAATAAGCTCAAAGTTACATGAAAAAGAATGACTGAGATGATTTGTAATCATAAATGTAATTATGATTGCTATTACAATATAAGCAGAATCTATTATAATTATGATACCTTTGCCCAAAATATAAATATAATCGATTATGATTACATGAAAAACTGTAATCGATTGTGATCGATTACGATTGCAGATTACGATTCGCCAATGTCTTCGGTAGGCAGACTGAGACAAGAATGGTTGATAGAATGGTGTGGTCCTACTGTGGTACAGCTGGTCTGGAATCAGGAGATATTTAGAGATAAGTTGTACTGTATATACTTTACTACTGTTCAAGTGCATGGTAAGGCTGAGGTTAGTGATTAGGTAAAATCATACAGTGGTTTCTTATATTTCATTTATTTCTTTACTTGTCCCTTCACATACGTTATCTAACTTTAATATATTAATAATTAATGCAGTGGATGATTCCTCCTCAATATAATACATATATTTTGAGTTAACTTGAGGCTTATTGCTAAGAACCTGGTAGAGATAAATAATTTAAGACTGAACATAGTGTTTCCCCGGCTGATTGTTGTCATCACTAGTGATAGGAGTTTGTTTCTGTATGTTATCACGATGACGCCTCACCTTACTTGACTAATGGTAAAATTCCGATAAAGAGGAGTGATGGCATAACAACCCGATGTTGTCCATAAGAACATAAGAATGGAGGAAACTGCAGCGGACATATTGTCCCATACTGGGCAGTCCCATTTACACCCAACCCCTATTGCTCATATAAACATCCAACCTATGTTTGAAGCTATCCAGCGTATTCGAGTTAATGATGATATTTGGTAACGTGTTCCATTCATCCACTACTCTGCTTCCAAACCAGTGTTTACCTATTTCGCGCCTAAATCTAAATTTGTCTAATTTAAAACCATTGTTACGAGTTCGCTCCTGGTTGGATAGTTTGAGTACCTTTGTAATGTCCCTTTGTTTAGCCCTGACCTCCATTTATACACCTCTATCATGTCGCCCCTCGCTCTACGTCTCTCGAGGGAGTGCAAATTAAGATGCTTTAACCTGTCTCTGTACTCAAGGTTCCTAATGCCCGGGATTAGTCTCGTCATTCTCCTCTGGATTCTTTCCAAGGATTCTATATCCATTCTGTAATACTGTGACCAGAACTGAACTGCTTAATCCAGGTGAAGTCTCACAAGCGCAAGATATAATCTTAAGACGACCTCGCTAGTCTTGTAACTAACACTCCTTTGTATGAACGCAAGTTTGAAATGATTGCTTCTAGTAATTTGCCTACAATTGATGTTAGACTGATTGGACGGTAGTTATAGGATAGTGATCTATCCCCCTTCTTGAAAATCCGTATTACATTCGCTATCCTCCAGGATTCTGGTACTACATCTGTTTTTAAGGACATGTTAAACAACTTTGCTAAGGGCATACTAAGCTTTTCCTTACATTCCTTTAATACTCTGGCAAATATCTCATCGGGACCAGGTGACTTATTAGGCTTTAGTTGGTCTATTTGCTTACTAACATCGTTACTAGTCACTACTATCTCGCTTAATTTGTTTTCTTCACTATCTCTGAATAGAGCCGGTGCCTCGGGTATCATGTTTAAATTTTCTGTGGTGAAAACTGTTGAAAAATATTTATTCAGATTATTGCTCATTTCTCCGTCGTTATCAGTTAACTCGCAGGTATCTGACTGTATTGGCCCAATCTTTTCTCGTGTTTTAGTTTGATACATATGATAGAATCCCTTGTGGTTTGTTTTCGCCTTCTTTGATATCCTCAGCTCATTATTCCTCTTTGTTTTCCTTATCTCGGTCTTAACCCTACCGGCCAATACCTTTTAATAATCCCGGAGGTAAATTTCGCAATGATTTATCCTCCTACCTATAGCCTTCCTTTGACCAATAATGTTCTTTAAGTAATTATTTATCCATTTAGGGTCATTGATGTTTTGATCTGAGTTTTTTTTATGGTATGTTCTGCCTTTGTGCATTAAGTAACTCATTATTTAAATTGTCGTGGAACTCGGCAGCCTCAGATCTCGTTATGAGGTCTGTTTCAACAATCAGGTCCATGTAGTTAACCCCCAAGCGTGATGCCCCTTCTCTCAACTGCCTCTTCAAACTATCAAAGTTTGCCCTTCTGAAATCTGGGACTTTTGTGGAATTTTCCTTATGGCTGCCCTGAAAATCTAACTGGAATCTAATTTCTTTGTGATCGCTGTTTGCAAGCTCGTTTCCTACCTCGACATTACTAATGAGGTTTTCTCTGTTCGACAGAACTAAATCGAGTATATTATTACCCCAGGTGGGTTCGGTTTTATGTTGACTTAGGAAACAGTCCTGGATTGTTTCAAGAAAATCCTCTGATTCTGAGTTACCCGTAAGGTCAATCCAATCTATTTGGCCAAGGTTAAAGTCGCCTACTATACAGACTTTGTTGTGTATGGAAGCCCTGTGCATTTCATCCCAGATAAGTTGCTCATTAACTCTAACAAGATTGGGAGGTCTATATATTACTCCTGTGATTAATTTCTCCCTATCGTCGATTAATTCTATCCAAATTGTTTCTGTATTCCGCTCAGTTTTTATTTCCTTATTTATTTCACACTTTAGATTATCCCTGACTTAGATTGCTATGCCGCCTCCTTTCCTAATCTGCCTATCGGTATGGAATAATTTTTAACCTGCAATTTGGTATTCGACAGGTAACTCACGTGAGTCTAGGTTGATCCATGTTTCAGTGAATGCTATTATATCGATTTTTTCGGTACATACCAAGGCCCTAATATCATCCATTTTGTTTCTCATACTTCTACTGTTCGCGTAGTAGACATTTAAATTAGTCATGTTCTGAGTCCTCCTTTTGCCGCGTTTAGGTTTTAACTCGCTCTCTAATTTAGTTTTGTCATCATTCCTAACACTTTTTCCCTGTAACCTTTCACTTTGTTTACTCTCTCCCACCGCAGTCTCCTCCACCCCCGTGCTCACATGTTCCTCTAGCAGCCAGGGTTGCTACTCCATCCCTAGACAGATGCACCCCATCCGTAGCATAAAGGTCTCTTCTGCCGTAGAAGTTGTCCCAGTTGTCAATGAATGGGACTGATATTGACTTGCAATATCTGTCAAGATGGCCGTTGACACCAACTGCCCTTGACAACCATTCATTTCCAACTCTCCTTCTAGGCAGGACACCACATATGATAGGGATCCCTCCCTTAGACCGAACACGTTCTATAGCTGTCTTGAACTTATCAAGAAGCTCCTCACTCCTACACCGGCCAATATCATTGCCTCCTTCACTAAGGCAGATAATGGGTTTGTTTCCATTACCAGACAAGATATTGTCCATCCTATCAACTATATCCCCCAGGCCAGCTCCTGGCAAACACACCCTCATCCTATTTTCATCTTTACCGCAAAAAGCTCTGTCCATGTACCGTACCTGTGAGTCGCCAACAATCAAGATTTTCTTACCTTCCTTGTCAGCCTTGTCCCTGACTATACTAACGTCCAATTCTTCTATCAAGGGACTGAAAGAGTTGGTACACTTAGCTGCTGTTGTCGTTGCTGTCGTATCCATATATCGGAATGTTAGCTTAGAGATGCAAATTCTTCAAATAAACATAATTCGGCTAATTTTTTACAAAACTTATTATAAATAATCTATGGGCAAGATTTTAGACTGGACTGCATTTGAAAATTCATGGACATTGTAGGCTATGCACTTTCTAGTGACCAAAACTATTACAAAATAACATTTTATACTGTTCTTATTTTAGTCTTTAGGGCAGTAAGTCTTACAGTATAAACTTCATTGCCCAAGGGCAATGAAGTTGGTATATGAAAGTGAAAATATCTGAAACAGCAAAGAACTGCATATTAAATGTAATAATTGTTCTGGTATAATTCTATGTCAAAACTTCATTTCATATTGTGAATCAGTATAAATCCAATTGAAAAATATTCCTTGAAGTGACTTGTTATTATCCCAACCCCAATGTCTCGCCCAAGTTTTCACCAAAAGACACAGAGCTGGACAACAGTAATATACTGCTATGGTTAGCTTTAAGTGGGGTAAACTTCATTAAATACTCTTTAGGTGTTCCCAAATACTCAGGCATGCACTTCCTCCATAATTGGGAGTTCGGCATAAGCACCACTGACTCCCACCTAACATTCCCTAGGGCAGGGAGGACAAACCTTAGCCACATGGATCAGACAAAGGAGAGAGGGGGGGGGGGGCAGAGACAGACATGTCTACAGGCCAGAGGCTGTAACCAGACATAGGAGACAGGCAGAGACAGACATCTCTACTGGCCAGAAAAACAAGGACAGCCTGTCCTCCAGTGAGGCTGGTGCAAAACAGAGGAGAGAGCCCATTGCCCATTGGCACATGCCAGATGAGCATTATTCAATTTACTTAGGACTATCTATGAGAGTGCAATAGGTAATTAATATGAGCTAAATTACATGGTACAGTATAACAATGAGAACACACACAACAACAAATGGGCATAACACAAAATGGTGGATGATGAAATACTTCTCCGCACCTTGGCTAACCCACCATGTGGTCCTAAGCACAGTGGGCCATGCGGTATGATGCAATGACATAGGAAAAACCCCATAGTCTGAATAGAGGAATATAAATGTAAATGTGAATAATAAGCACATTCCTGTGACTTTATGTTCTAGCCTGGTGAAGCTGATGCCCAGCTGCCAGTGATGGTCTTCATCCATGGTGGTGCCTTCATGGCTGGGGAAGGCAAGATGTACACACCACATGTTCTCCTCAATGAAGATTTAGTCTTAGTTGTTATCCAGTACCGACTTGGTGTTCTTGGTAAGCTTTAACATAATAAAATTTCTTTGATGAAAGTAGCTGTTCCTCTGTTATTTGATGGAACTTTGACGTTTTTCTAATTGTAGAATTGTTTACCTTGAGAGCCAGTATTTCGTCATCTTTCCTCTACATGCACATTTTATTATACATATAACATTTGCATGGTATTCATATTTCAGAGCTCAATTAATTTTAGTATGTATTAATTATTCCAGCTCTGCAGTATCTGAATGTATGTATGTATGTATGTATGTTAGAGCACAAAAATGGATTTTACAATCATGATAAAACTTACTATAAGTGGGAGACATCATATCTGAACATTTATCTTTCAGGTTTCTTATCAACAGAGGATTCAGTAATCCCAGGAAATTTTGGCCTGAAAGACCAAACAATGGCTCTTCATTGGGTGCAAAGAAATATCCAGAGCTTTGGTGGAGATCCCAAACGAGTGACTTTGTTTGGAGAAAGTGCAGGAGGAGCCTCTGTACATTTTCACATATTGTCGCCTCATTCTGAGGGTGAGTATTCATATAATTTGTATATTTGATTTTGATAAACTGTTTTACGCAATGAAAACTTGAAAAGTGATATTTTTTTTATTAAATCTCAGGTAAAAAACTTTGACTTCTGGTATTACTATCATGTGGTTTTAGAAGTGGTTATAAATCTTCACATAGAGTTTTGTTAGTCAAGCTAAACCCATGGTCTTAGTAATAATATGAGTTTATGCACAAACAAATGATGGTGAGGATGCAGGCTTAGAAAAATATTTAATGTTATAAAGAAAGCAAAAGACGCCGTAAAGTTTAGTGAATGTCTGATTATAATGGGTGATATTAAAGCAAAAGTTGGGAAATGGAAAGTAGCACCAGAAGTAGGACGACAAGGGTTGATTAATAGAAATGTGAGAGGGGATCTATTTATTTTGTTTTGAAAGGAAAACAAAACGATAATTGCAATTGCGTGGTTTGAACAACACCCTAGGCATCTCTATGCATGGATCTCATCCCAGTATATTGTAAACAACATAGTCAGGAATCCAATAGATTACATTTTAATTCAGGAACGATTCAGAAATTCAGTGACCCGAACCAAGACCTATCCTGGGAAAGATTGTGGGTCAAATCACGTCCTAGTAATGAATTTAGTGAGGCGAAAACTTAAGAAAAAAAAATACGGACAAAATCAAATGAGATTTAGGAAATTTCAAAACAGGGCAGGGATAGAATATGAAAATGAAATCGAAAGTAGATTTTCAGTATTGCGAGAGGGTCAACAATTTAATGATTACAAAGAAGTAATGTTAGAAACTGGGGAAAACTCATAGGACATAGAAGGAACGAGGCAAAATATGAGTGGATGACAAATGACATTTTTAAGAAAATAAATAGAAAACAAATTTGAGAAAACGAAGTGAGGCTTATATACGTATTAAGAAAGAGATTCAAAGGGAATGCAGACAGACCAAGCAGAATAATCTAGAGCGGAAATGCAAGGGGATTAAAAAAGATGACAGAAGGCATAATTACAGAGACATGTACAGAAAGATTAGACAAATGAACCAGAAAAAAGGAAATAAATAGGGGGGCACTATTAAAAGCAAGGACAATAAGATCCTGTTTGAGGCAGAAGAAGTAAAAGAGAGATGGGCAGAGTATGTAGAAGAACTATACAATAAAAGGATAGAGTAGAGGTAAGAAACGAAAAGGAAATAAAGATCGAAATGTCAATTCTGAAAGCAGAAGTTGAGGCAGGTGGGAACAAAATGAAAAATGATAAAGCTTGTGGGGTTGATCAGCTTTCAGCAGAATTTATAAAACAAATGGTAAAAAATGGGATTAAATGTTTGTCTAAAGTATGTAATTCTATATACTGTACTTCAAAAGAGACTTTCCCAGTGATTAAAAAAAAAATGAGAAGAATAGGCTTAATAAGTCATGCCTGCAATGTTTTATTAAACACAATTTTAAGCAGAATAAAGTTTATAATATAAACTTAATTTTCTGAATAGCAAAATGGATTTAAGAAGAGAATGGATCTAGAAAACTATATTTGGATTGACAGTACGTATTTCGCGCATTGTGAAACAGTGTTATACTTAGTGACTTCACATCAGTGTCAGTGAACTATGACCATGTGTAAAGTGGTATTTGTGGGTGTAGTGTAGTAATCAAGCTGACAGCTTCTGGCATCCACAGTGCCCTGGTGTCGCGCAAAGCTTACTCCCGGGCCCGGCCATGTGGCCCCCAGCCTCATCCTCTCTCCCTCCTCCCAGCCTCATCCTCCCTCCCTCCTCTCGCTCCGGTGATGGTGGCGCTTATCACACGTGTTAATGACTTCATGTGGTGTCTCACGTGACTATGGTGGTTATACTGGGCTGGTGGGGACAGGAATTTAACAAGTGAGTTGGTGAATATTGGGTATAACTCCTATCAGTGTTACTCAAGGACACCGCTGGCCTACATATCACCTCTCTGCCCCAGTGTATAAGGCCTGGATTCCATTTAAATCTAGCCATGGCAGGAGTCGACGCCGGACGGCACTCTGCTGATGTTCCTGACGAAGGAAACGAAGATGATGAGGGCAGTCATGGCGACACTGAAGCTGGCTTTCAGAAGTTTAGGACTCGTCAGCAGAAACGCAAAATGAGGACCCAGGGAAGGAAGCAGAGTAGAGCCAATAGGTGCAGCTCTCCCATTGCTCCCCGGGCAAACTACATGCGCTTTGCCTTCCCCGAGAACACAACCAATTTGATGAGGAATATTGCACGACTCCGCTGAATGTTGTCATGCCAGGTAGCACCCCTCGTTTCGTCTATGTAGGCCGAGAGGAGACGGATGCTATCCAACGCTTCATTGATGGAAAGGTAAGCTCACTACATCTCATTAAGCGAGATGAACCTGTCCGACCCCCAAAAAATGAAGGAATACCTTGTCACCCACTACCCCAAGGGTATTCCCCCCAGTGGCGCTCTGTCACTTCCGGGCGTCCACAGAGCAAGAAGACTTTATAAGGATGGTGCACAACTTAGTAGGATCATCATTGTTTGGAAAAGGAAGGAACCACCTCCTGAGGAATACTGCTTCTTTGGCAGCACGTACGGTACCCCTAGTAACATCAGTCGGTGGATTCCTCCCCCTGTGGTGTGCTACAACTGCTTTGGGGTCAATCATGTGGCGAAATACTGTCACAAGCCAGCCACCTGCGGCTACTGCGCAGGAATGCATAGCACAAGCAGCTGCCCCATCAAGGAAGGTGCCTCTCAGGACGGAAGAGAGCAGGACTCCCCATTTGAGTGGCAGTGTGCCAGATGCAGGAAGAAGGGTGTGACGGCCTGGCATCCAGGTTGCCCTGGGAGCCCGCCTCCACCCACAAAAGCGGTCCCACTCAGTGATGCCAACAGCAACACTGCGGGGTCGCCTCCAGCACCTGAAATCAACAGCGACACCTCCCCACCCAGGGGGCAGTGTCCCAGGTCCAGGGAGGAGGGTGTGACGGCCTTGCACCCCAGTTGTCCTGGGAGGTCGCCTCCATCCACAATAGCAGTCCCACTCAATGATGCCAATGCGGCCGGATCGCCTCCACCACCTGAAGTCAACAGGCACAGTGACTCTCCTTCGTTAGCCAATGCAGGTCAGGTTAAAGCCTGCCAAGTAAGTGTACCAGTGAACAATGACAGTGATAGTGTTAGTGGAGCTTCTGAAGGAGCTGGTGCCTCCTCTCATAATGATGCCAACTTGAGGGTGAGTAGCCAGAGCGAGACCGATAGTGATGGAAGCATGAATGGGGAGAATGAGCCCCAGACTGCCAGCGTGGTCTCTTTAATAACCCCAGGTCTGAAAACTGTCCATAACCCTGTACTTTTCCAATTGTTTACGGAGGAGGAACTCGCGGGACTAATGAAGGAACCTGTGTATAAAAATCCTACTGGAATAAGGGCTGTGAGGAACATTATCAGGAAATCCAGGGGTGATGAATTTGAAATGGTAACTTATTGGTCAGGTTGATCTATGAAGCCAACGCGCGACTCTCTATACTAAATTCAAGGTGGAAAAGTAACACGAACGCTTAGGTTCATTTCATGGAACATCCGGAGTGTTAATCGCAGAATTAATGATCTACAATGGTTTGTTAAAGTTTTTAACATTGATGTAATTGGTTTACAAGAACCTTACACGTCCAGCACCCAGAAGAAAGTTGCACCCAGGATAGCTGGGTTTACAGCATACAATAGTGGAGCAGGAAGTGGCCTGCTCACTTATGTAAAGAATGGTCTGGTCTGTAAATGGATTAAAACTCACAATGATGAAAGTATTCACTATCAACAATTTACAGTAAAGACAGCAAACAGTCAATTTTCGCTGTATAACATCTATGTTCGGTGTAATGAGCTGCGAGCGGACGTGTTACCAAAGCCATCAGGTAACAATGCTATGCTGTGTATGGGTGACTTTAACTCTCGTCACACTGTCCTCGGTGATGTCCAGTGTAACTCTAATGGGAGGGTGTTCGTGAATTACATCAATAATCATAATATCACTGTATACGACACAGACAAAGTGACACATCTGATGGGGGGCAGACTTGATTATGTGATTGGGTATAACCTAGTAGACAGTAATGTCAAGGCTAAGGTCATCTCAGACCACCTAGTCAGTGATCATTATGCAATACTTACTGAATACACTGTTGCTGATGTCAAGTGTGAACCCCATCCTAAGCTCAGAATTAACATCCCAGATAATCTTAAACTGCACTTCAAGGCCTACATCCACAGATGGTATGCTGGATATACACCTGGGTCAGTGGATGAATTTTGCTGTGATCTTGTAAATGTCATTACCACATATTATACCACCTGGGTTAAGTCAAGGAGGAAGGGGGGCAGCACTAAACCACCTCTGTGGACACATGACCCCATCCTCACCAAAGAAGGAGAGAATGTAAAACAGCTTGCCAACACTTATAAGCAAAATAAAACTAGTGATAACCTTTTGGCATTCCTCAAAGCTAACAGAGAATTTCGTGAACTCAAAGGTCAGGTGAGAAACACCTATTGGGAACAATTCTTACAGGGGATTAATAGAACAACCACTCTAGCAGAAGTGTGGAACAAAATTAGAGCCATTACCAAGTCACCCACCCCAGTCCAGCTTCATCACAGCCCTGCAGAATATGCTGACATGCTATTAGACCAATGGTCTAGTGTGTCACAAATCACTTCCCTGCCTCCTGACATACAACAATATCTTAACACCACACACATTAATAGGGGTTTCAATATTGAAATAGCCTGTTCCTCACCAGACCTTACCGACCAGTTTCCTATAACGCACCACGAACTAACAACAGCACTAATGAAAGGTGAGTCATCCTCCCCTGGTGAGGATGGCATAACCTATAACACCCTGAGATTGTTGAATGAGATCCCTAACCATCCACTGCTTGACCTGTATCAAATGAGCCTCACACAGGGTATTCTGCCTAAGACATGGACTCATGGAAACATAGTACCAAT